ATGGTTTGAACCTGAGCAGGCTTAGACGCTGCTCACAGTTAGCGATTTCGCGATAGGAACAGGCACCCCAATAGGCATGAGACATAACAGAGAGTAAAGTAAAGAGCTGAATCAAAAAAAAATTAGGGTTTGTCGAATGGTTTGAACCTGAGCAGGCTTAGACTCTGCTCACAGTTAGCGATTTTGCGATAGGAACAGACACCCCAATAGGCATGAGACATAACAGAGAGTAAAGTAAAGAGCTGAATCAAAAAAAATTAGGGCTTGTCGAATGGTTTGAACCTGAGCTCGGCCTTAGACTCTGCTCACAGTTAGCGATTTTGCGATAGGAACAGACACCCCAATAGGCATGAGACATTACAGAGAGTAAAGTAAAGAGCTGAATCAAAAAAAATTAGGGTTTGTCGAATGGTTTGAACCTGAGCAGGCTTAGACTCTGCTCACAGTTAGCGATTTTGCGATAGGAACAGACACCCCAATAGGCATGAGATATGATGGAGAGTAAAGTAAAAAGCTTAATCAAAAAAAATTAGGGCTTGTCGAATGGTTTGAACCTGAGTACCCCTCTTTACTTTTCTCTCATGCCTATTGGGGTGTCTGTTCCTATCGCAAAATCGCTAACTGTGAGCGGAGCCGGGTGTGTAGCGTTTCTCCTCCTGGGGTCAGCTGAGCGGACTCAGCTCATCGTTGCATGCGGCGATCGATCCGTGTGTGATCGTGTGATCCGCGTGTGCGGCGATTTCGCGATATGGAGGTTTTGTACTCGTCCATGCTGCCCCCCGTTGCAGCCCTTTACATTTCATTGTCAAGTGACGAGGTGGCTACTCCTAAGCACAGTAAGGCTCTTCCACTTTGACGTCCCCCATGGACATGAGCGCCAGGAATTAAGAAATTAGGAAATAAATAAACTAGCTGTGGAGAACATTGGAACTTTCTGAAACAGTCTAAATGAACGAGCCATAGTAAGCTGCGTGGTAACCTAATATAGTATGGGCGTCATGTGTGAACATATTGCCATACTGCATGATCTATTCTCTTTCACGCCATTGGGGAGAAGGGGGTCAGTCAAATTAAAAACAGCTCACTCAAACAGCGCCCAAGTTGCTCATTCGGCAGTAACGAATCGATAAAACTAACGATCTTCCACTCCAGCAGCCAAAAAAGAGTGGAATAGGGCTAAAACTATATCGTTTCCACCGCTAATAAACACTATTTCCATTGTGAGTGCATGGAACACAACCTCTATAAACTGATTCCATTTACTTTAAACTGAGCAAACCACCTTCAGTCCTTCAGTAAAGAGTAGTGGTCTAACGGATAATACAGCCTATCAATGGACAGTCCGAAACTTGGGAAAATGCCAGCGATATGCCAAGCGACTCGTCACACGGCCATCCAACCACCGCAGCCTTCGCCGCGTGCGGCGGCGCGGCGGCGACCCCAGTAGGCGTTTGCAGGATTGCTGAATGTCCTAGTTGCTAAAACAAGGACCATATGTGGCAAGATTTCGTCAATGGCAGACCACGTTGAATTGTGCTCACGCGAGAATTTGTTTTGACCACTCCTTCGATATTTTCGAGATGATGAAGCATAGTTGTGTGTAGTTGAGTTTTGTGTATTTTTATCATTGATATTATAATATAACATGTTCTAAGGAGCATGTAATAAACTAAAGTTGTATAGCTCTCAAGCAAGATGACTAACAGCTGCACTTGGTGTCGAGTGAACCTGGTCATTAACTCCTGCTTTCCATATAAATACGCCACCAATCGATACATGTGAAACCTAACAAGTAGGAAACGGACATTTGAACGTAAACGAGCAGTTACAGTCGACCAGAAAATTGGGGTAGGCATGTCCCCGGAAGTGACGTGTACTTGATAAAAGTTTTGTGGGTAACCTGTTGCCAGTATGCTTTGCTGATATCCAGCAGTGCACGTTGGAAGCAGCTTATCCACATAGCATCTATCAAATGCACGTCATTTCCGGTGACCGCCTATCCCCACTCTCTCAGATATCGAGTACGCCAGATTCCAGAGTCCTCAAGTTCACGATGGCAATGTGAAGCGCATATTAGTTGGTCTCTTCTGCGAAAAATTACAGAACAAGCATGTTTACGACCTCAAATAAATCATAAACATGACCTGCGTTCTGTTTCCCAACTTACGCAACTTGGAGTTTTATTTGGAGTGAACTGCTGCCGGCGGACCGTGTTGCGGTACAGTGGTCAGCCAGCTACAGAAATCATCCTCGTCCCTACTATATATATTCGCTAAGTGGTGTGTGTTTGTCAGTGTGTCTGTCTGTCTGTCTGTCACAAATCCACAACGGCCGCTTCAGTCGTCAGGAGTCAGGGGCGGCCAAAAAAGACATTTTGGCTTATGTCGGACTTCGGCTCTTTTTCTTCGCAGAGATTTGCTGTCGGTTGACGGGAGTTCCTCAGCGCAGAGTATTCCTAAGTGTTCCTCTATTGTGTACGCAGCTCGTCCTTCACTGCCCTCACGTTTTCAGAATATAGACGTCACTGTCACCGTTGTTTCAGGCTCAAGGAGGTCTACCGTAAGAGCTTCAGCTGGAAGCTTTACGCAATTTCGTGAATCGATTTAATGTTGGAAGTTTTCTAGAGCCATTCAACTAACCACTGGTGCAAATCCCTCGAAACTAGCTTTCAGTAAGCGGGTCGTTATGGTTACAGCGACACCTTGAAGACCACGTTGAGATCGACCAGGGCACCATGTATTCGTTGGAACCGTTCGGTCTGAGTTGAGTAAAATGTGCCTAAATCCACCTGGAAGTGGAGGCAAAATGTCTTTTTTTTTTGGCCCCCCCCTGTATTCGCTAAGTGGTGTGTGTTTGTCAGTGTGTCTGTCTGTCTGTCTGTCACAAATCCACAACGGCCGCTTCAGTCGTCAGGAGTCGATTTTGAGATAGGAGAGATAAGCCGTTTAGACAGAGTGAGCACCCGAAGTAAGAGTAATTACGATGTTCCTGCCAATTCACGCTTTATTTCGGGTGCTCGCTCTGTCTAAACGGCTGAAGTCGAGATAGGATATGGGAGGGGGGAGGGACGGTAACATATTTGGCGGATGACAGAATCTGATAACAACTGATAAGAACCGATGAGGTGCGTTAGTGTAAACGTCACCGAATTCGTTGTGTGTCCTAGCAGAATTTAATAGTCGGCTCCAACATATGGTGTAGGTGTTGGGATGGGAACATATTCGACGGGTGCATAAACTGCTAATAAATGATAATAGCTTAGAATGGACGTTCAAAGACAAATATCACGAAATTTATAGCGCTCGGCACAGCAGCAGTGAGGCGTCGGTTCCAAAAAGTGATGTAGAGGGTAGTGCGGGAACATACATATTCGGCGGGTACCATGATCTGATGGCAACTGAAACTGAAAAGAGATGTTAGAAGGAAAGGCTCATCACTAAATTTATGGCGTGCGTCCCAGTAGCGGTGAGCTTCGGTTTCAACATATGATAAAGGGGTGGGACGAAAACATATTTGATGGCTGACAGAAAGTGATAGCAATTGATAAGGGGCGCTAGAACGAAAGGCTTGAAAATTCATAGGATTAGAAGCAGAAAGGTGCTGTCTTTTGTCGGATCATTCTCGGCGAGTGGCAAAAAGTGACAACAGCTGATAGAGGCTGATACCAACAATCAGTTGAGGGAAGTAGGAGATACCTAAGTTGTTATGATATGTTATGATATATGATGTGTTATGTTATGAAAACCTACTTACTCCACTTGCTAAGCACCTACTAGAAACTCATCAGTGCAACGATTTCAATATACGATGCAAAATTCTGGCCCGCAAAGAGAGGCAGAACATTGACGCTTTTTGAATACGCAGTTTACAGCTATGGTGATCTCGCCACAGTTGAGTGCCTTATGGAGGCAGCTCATTGTAAACCAAGTGAGAAACGGTCCAGAACCAGAAAGTGGCATCCTCCCCTAACTGTCCACTTCCGCATTTGTCCGACTCTCATGCTGCTGCTGTCTGTTCTCTTCAACCCCTGCTAAACGACTGAAAACCTCCACCGGTAGTAAGCAACTCAGTGGGCATACCGTGCCAATAAAGCTGGGAGGGCCATACCAGATCCCCCGGTGAATCCCGCTGCAAACAGCATGTCGGTCATCCTTACAGGGACTGTTTTTCCATTAGGTAAGTTTCTCCTTCTTCGACTTATGACCTTACCGTGGAATCTTCCTTTATAGGACCTGGTTCATGTAGCCTGCTGAACCAGGGGAGGGGTTAGACTATGAGGCACGTGTGACTGTTCCCGTCATGAAATTTGGTATGATTCTAAAGCAAAAAACAGTAGCGAAATACCATGGTAGCCACACGACCGATATGAATTGAAGCTATAGAAAAATAAATTCAGAAGCTACATTTTCATACTGAAACTAAAATACAACGTTTGAGAAAAACATATGTACACCACCCTATACGAAAATACAAGCAGTGATAAAAAGTGCATTCACGGGATATATCATGGAAACCCGTCTTTCACAAAATAATACACTGATTCTCAAACACTACTGAGATATCATAAAAACAATATCATGTCATAACATCGTGCAATGTAAAAGCTCAAATTCCTATTCCAGAAGAAAAACGAGATCGCGAGCTTTGTAGGAATAGGAAATTGAGCAGAGTTCATGAATATTTGGCAAATTCCGAGAGGGAGCATGAGACAACATGAGAAAAGTCATCTTATTCAAGAGAAAAGGAAGCCGAAGTAAGGAACACAATGAAGAACAGCGCTGGGCGCAACACGTAGGATCAAGCAAAATGGAGAGGTTCATCCGACTGAACAGCCACCTCACATATCGCTTTCAAGAAATAAGACAGTTGTTATAATTTAGAAAAAAACGGGATGATTTTTAACGTGGCAAACCAAGGAAAACAAAAACATCAAACTGGAAAAATGTTAGTCATATTGTGTGAATAACATTATTTTAATGTAACTACAACCAGTAGGATTCTTATTGTTCCCATTGCGTCATTGGCTCTTGATACATTTCGTAGGTTGAGTAGATAATCTGACCGGGTTCCGCACCGCCGGGTGATAAACCGTGACTATTCGGCGAGATTGACTCATTTACTGACGGTGACAATGAGTGTGGACTGAGACCAGTTTCCGTCGATAAAACTTCTGAAAACGCAACAGTCAGAGAGGGAAGGGAAAAGGCAGCGAAAAGTTGTGAAAACGTAATTTCATGGAAAGTTTTTTTTTTACCATTCAACTGAGCTCGCTGACGGGCCTCTTCTTGTGCTCGCTTCCTCTGACGTCTTTGAGCATCCCGCATTGCGTTATACTGTCTACGTTCCTCACTAAAGCTTTTCTGTATACTACCAAAAAGAGAGGGCATAGCACTCTATAATTGTTGAACCTGTTCATTCGATGATATTTCGCTCTCGCTTGCTCGGCTCTTCTAGCGCGCCTCATCTGCGCTTCAGCGATCGCCCGACGTGTCTCTTCGTCAAGAGTATCTAGTTGGCAAGTTTCGGCCAAATGACATAATTCCTCATCCCGTTGCCGAGCCTGGAACATATGAATGCGATTACTTAAGCCTTACAAACAAAGGCTTCAGTATAAATTTAAGAGCAAGAAGAGAAGAATGGATTCTGCTAAACGCCAATTTTCACCAATATTATTTATTAGTATTTCTACTTTCATATTGATTTTGCTATTCAAATTCAGCAGGTCTCTGGGGAAGAGAACTCAAAATCCCCATAGACCTCAACATGCAGCAGTATGTTAGGAGAAATACTTTTCAAGCGTGCCTCGGGTAGTCCTTGATGAGGAAGGTCATATCAAGCCCAGTGGGAGGGAGACGTAAGTGCGAAGTTACCAGGAATCATAGTAAAGGATGTCGAAGACACAGCGCGCTCATCAGCGAATTCGACCAATGCGCTTTCATCCCCTTTCCTTTCAATAGGGATGTTAGTTTCAGAGACAGGAGGTTCCCCAAAGCGATTTTCAGAATGAGAGAGGAAATACATTACTCATTACTCATACTTAAGAAGAAATACATTTCAGCTCAAAGGCGGATTTGACGGTGGAAAAGATGCTTACTGGCGATAAGGGTAGAGATGGTCAGTGACAGATCATGAAGAAGCCACGCAAAACGGTCGTAGAGACGAGAAATGGGACCCCTCCTAAGCCGTGGATTTCCGCATTCATCCAGCTCTGATCGTGTGCCCTACTCTAACGCTCTGTCTGCTATCTAATCACACGGGCGTATAGACCAGTGGCGAGTGATAAGATAGTCGGCAGAGGGGCGTTCCGGGCCAACTGCGTCAAGGGAGGGCCACACTACCGCCGGTGCATCCATCCTTCGATGCAAATCGCGAGTTGGTCATACTCTCAGGAAGTTCGCCTGTTTCTCCACTAGATGAGTTTCCCCTTCCTCAACTTCCGCTCTTATCGTGGAATGCTGCTTTAAATTTATAACCACAAAACCATTTAAGTTAAACCATTACAGCACACTTTCGAAATTATTTTGTACTACAGGGTGCGCCATAATTACGGAGACAGCGACTTCGAGTTGCCTAGGATGAGCAAGGTGCAATTCTTTGAAAACAAAAATGCAGTAACATGCACAGTAACATTGTGAATCGTCGACATCCATGCAATTTTTGAAATTCCTCGGTTTGTGTTTATACGGGTCCTCAGAAACATCGAGGAACCATCGACTGTGGCACGCAATGTGGCGAGTAGGACTCGTCAAGCTCATTTCGGAGCGGTTTCTTCAACCAATCCCTAGACATAATGTGTTTTATGCAAGCCTCTGCTTCTAGAATGAATCCGACTCGTACCATATCGAGCTCAGATCTGAAATGCTATTCTACCACCGTTTAAGCGACAAAGTCGAAAAAATCGGTTCTGCAGCAATGCTGCACTAGTACTGAACCACCCCTCCCTCGTAAACGGAAGCACCTACTTGATGGAAGGCCCAGCAACGATTTTCAAAGCGAAAATAAACTCAGGATAGCAATGGGCTCTGATAAGCCCAAAAGAGCCCCCCTGATTACTATCTCTCGTGACATCCAGTGAAACCAGCGCGTCAACTACCTGCAAATTCTATCGCACATAATCCTTAGATTGTTCGTGGTCGCCGCAGAAACACGCCCTTTTCATCCAGAATGACTGCATTCAGCTCCTTGTCCCTTGTACCATTTGGAGCATCTATTGATAGTGCTCGGCTATACACCAAAACGATGATAATTGTCGCGTGCCCAAAATCCTCAACGTCGAAGTCCAATGATTTAGGGACGGTGTCAGTATCAGTCAACCGCTGCAGCTACCATAGATTTTAGTGGTTGAACAAAGTAAGCATAAACAATTCTACACCACAGTACCAAAACTAGGACAAAAGAAAACAGCATCCGTGAATATCAGTTCAAATTGTCTGCTCATGCGCTGTCTCCGTAATTTTGGCGCACCCTGTAGTACCAAATAGTCCATGGCCACCGTAAGAGTCTCCAGGCGGTAGTCGGACAAAAATCCTCAAAGGATCCACTCTTGATGTACTGAATGTACTAGGTCACTAAGAGAGCAAGCCTTTCAGTTTATAGCGCTGCACTAACTTTTCTGAATTAATGTGCCTTAAGCAGTTATGGCTTTTAGATGTTAAAACACGCGCATCTCAAAAACTCCTTCCTTATTTTTGCAAAAATCTTCAGCAAATCAATTCGACATCCTGAACGTAAAGTCAGTAGAAAAGCACTTGATGACAGATTTTTTGATTCACGGCGCTTATTTACCTCTCTGATTCAAGATAAATAGAATGTTATGGTTTCGAAAATGTAAAAACTCGCACCCCCCCCCCCCCGGAAACATCCGTTTATCCCAAAGTTACGTGCGCCAAAATTCGAAAGCTTACTAAAAAAGGTGTATCAGTTATTTCCACTTTTCGCGCTACCAATGCGCAGATGGATTCTCTTGTGAATCGCATCGTTATTGGGTAAAACTGTCAGTATCTATAACGATAAGATGGCAAGAGGGGATACAATGTGACCTGCGATCAGTCTCATGGATGAGAAAGAGACTGAATCGAAGGACATTACTTGATTCCTTGTGTTTTCCCTGAAGATGGCTTAGATGGTTCTTAAACGATGCAGGAGAGTAGGAACAATCATTAACAAGTCTAGGCGAGGAGGACTGGTCAGCGTTCTCACGGACATAATGATTGAAATGGTTGGTTGGCAATTCAGGCTGCTCCACCAGAAGGATGGAGAGGCCGCTGAATGTATCGAAGTCGTCGATAAGGCGCATTGTCAATGGAAAGCGGCACTGCGGCTCCTATCACATGCAGAAGTGCCAGTTCTTTCCGTAGAGCGGCAAGCCGAACAGAGGCCAAAAAGTTGGGAGGTCACTAGCGCGCATCAATGGCAAAACGCAACTTTCTCTCGATCGTTTTTTCTGCGGACCCGGTGTTAAGAAGTCAAAACGATCACATTCTTACTGGAAATATCGGTAGTGCCACCTCACGAGAAATGATTGTCGGAAGAACAACTATCCGGCATCAGCAAAGGTTCGGAGTAGAGTCGCGGCCAAAGGTGAAACGCCGTTGGTTTTCGCCGATGCATGTGTGAAGATCAGCAAGGACGTGCACACTGTGGAACGTATTAAAGCCTTGGTCCAGTTCCCACCTTGGGAGCAAGCCGTGGTGTTTCCAGCGGGACAACGCTTCAGCCCACGGAGCCAAGCTCGTTCAAGACAGGTGGTAGCTGCGAGCTAAGATGTCGGTCAGACTTTGCGATTGCATCGCGCGATGCAGTCGCCCTGCGTAGAGCGATTCCATCGCGCGATGCAGTCGCTCTGCGTAGAGCGATTCCATCGCGCGATGCAGTCGCTCTGCTTAGAGCGATTGGCATCGCTCCAAAGTGCGAGCGAGGGAGATTTACCCCGCCGACGACCGATACACACGGCGCTGCTCGGGTAAATCTCCCGTCGCTCGCCCTTTGGAGCGATGCCAGTCGCTCTAGACAGAGCGAATGCATCGCGCGATGCAATCGCAGAGTTATGACGCAGATCCTAACCAAGACGGTTGCCGCGAGGAATGACCTTCTTGCTCCCCTAATCTAAATTACCAAACTCAGAGTCCGGTAGGTGATTAACAGCAAGGACTTTCTAGCTCGACCTTCAAATCTACAATCATTGCAAGCAGCATCAACGGAAGCCTGGGAAGAAATGGATAAGGAGAACCTGCGTGCAACGAGAAAACGATGCAAGAAGAGACTCCGGGCCTGTATTTGTGCAGGTGGAGGGAATTTTAGAATCTGGTTGTAGCATGTTGTTGTTTATGATGTTGCAATAATAATGTTTAGATTCGTTTGCCATTGTATGTCCAGAAGTTTGAAAGATATTGCAATAAACAGGCGCAAGTAATTTTAGGACACTGTAGTTTTTCACTATTTTGTGAAAATACGTATCGTCTACCAGGTATAGAAATTACTCAGGAGGAAGATCCAATTCCAGATCTTCTGTCAGACTATCTGGAGGAGAATTATGAATTAATTAAGTATTCTGTCAGACTATCTGGAGGAGAATTATGGTCACTTGAATACAGAGGGTGGTCGTGTCTCAGTTTTCCTCAACGCCTCACTGACTCTTCTCAGAAATTGTATATACACCAAAATTAGCCAAAAAGATAGCCAACCTTTCGCAAGAGCTCTGCGCGCTTGGCGTTTTGTTGCTGTCGAATTTCCGGTCGCATACTGTGGTATCTTCAAACAAATAATCGATGAAGTATTGAAGCGAGGAGCGAACACAATTACTAACCGTATCCTTGCTCGTTCTGCACGTTTCGCTTTGCTGATTTCATTCCGCTCCGCCACTGTGAGACCGCTTGTGCTGCCACTACCACCCATTGAGACAGGAACAGATGGCCGACGCAACGGCTCCGGCTGAAGCGGCGGTTGAAACCGTAGACTTGTCTGGGGTTGTTCCGGCTAAAAGACTATGGTTTGAATGCACATGGTTGCTCGTAAACAAATCGAAAAATGTTTTTGATCGTTAGCGTCGCATGTGGATATGAGCCCACAATCCTTGAACCGAACTCCAAAAGCCATGAAAAAACCTACTGTGATGCAGTTTGAACTGAGTGAGTGCACTACTAGTCACTTCTTGTTCTGAGCACTTGTTTTCTAGCTCCTAACGGTATCCTCCTCCCTTCCTTATAACAAACATTTATAGACTTTCTTTTAAAATTTTTTTTGGACTTGAAAATTAACTATGAAAATGAGCTACGCAGTCCAGTCCCCTCAAACCGTAAAATTCCTTCAGCATTTGAGGAGCAAATAGTGATATTTGTTTACAGTTTATCAATCAGCCTATGTGTAAGGAGTCACATGTGGCTTTCACATTCGAACATCTAGAACAAGGCGGAAGCCCACCTCACAGCGAAAAATGCATAGCGTCTGGATATAGCAACGGAGTAAGATTTCTTAGGCTTTTCCTTCTCCGCTGTTTCCCAACCACATTTACTATTCTCTAATACATTCACCACACTTCGTTTCGTTATACCATCGGAAGTGATCATTCAATTGAATTGATCTATATGAAAAATACTAACTATGTCGTCAATCACTATTTCATGAGACGCATAGAGAGCATGAGATGACTCCAGCACCATAGAAGATGACGACGGTACCAATTCTATCTGAAACGAGATGAAATGAGTACCTTGAGCACACTCCAAAAGTCTGTTACCATACCTGATCCTGAGAGTTGGCAAAAGTCAACGGCTTGCCCTGATCCTCTACATTGGATAAAGGCAATGGCTGTGGGTGGATGAGAAAAGGTTGTCCATTTGTTATTGCACTAAAAAAATATAGTAGTGAAAAGCGTTTTGTACACAGCAGAAAAGTGGATACATACCGAAGCTGCTCTTCTCCTCGAATGAGTGTGCCGTCCACAGTTCGCAGTTCAACAGGTTGTCCATTAGCATCAAGACCAGTGATTAGCATTTCATGCAGCGCTTTCTCATCGATAAGTTGTGACGGCTTAATAATACGATTCACACTTTAATTCCAATTAACCGAACTTACTAAATTTTATACTGCGTGTAGTAATACTGCAAATGTACCTGCACGTAAACCTTATCATCTACAAGTTGACCATCATTCGTGATTAAAACTTGATCTCCATCGATGAGTTGGTGTTCCACAGAGTTGAAGCGACTTGCCTGCGTTTGTTGCTGCTGGCGAGCCAAAGCCATGTGGGCCTTGAAAAAAACTAGCTCGTAACACGTTCACGCCGATGGCCGCCCATATGGTATGAGCTGCCAACAACATGTGCTCCTGGGCCGATGACAGCCCATATGGGCTGCCAACTGGCGCTAGGAATGGACAGATAGGTGGGCAAACCTCGTAATCGAGTGTAAAATGCTTCAAAATTCCTTCACAGAAAAAGTGAATAAATGCTCTCTTTGCGTAACCACTATTTGTCAATCTGATCGGAATCCTACTGTTATATATTTGGATAATCTTTACGCATTGGGCATTGCAGAAATTATTTTGTGGCATTCATGTTTTTGTTAATTTACAAAACAAAATCAGCAGTTATGCGGTGAGGCGGTGGCGCCCACAGAATCGCGTCCATCCCACGCGACCGAAAAGTGGAAAAGGGGCGTCGTGAATGTGTCAATAGCTCCACCAAACTTTCGATGAAAACGTTTCACATTATCCACAAAATGAATGCTGTATGATAGTCACTGATAAATCATCAAACCTAAAAACTCACTTGTTTCGTTCTCTTGATAACCTCTCTCTCCATTTGCTCGAAAATATCATCCGTGGTTTGCGTAACCTAAAGACTATTTAAACACTCAAGCAATAAGGTGAGCATCACATTAGCGTGAAAACCATTCCGAAGGCAAACCTGAGGATTTGAAGAATTTAGATGTTCCTGTGACGAGGACATATCGCCGGACTCCAGCAACGACACTGCGCTATTGTGTTGGAATGAGGAACTCAACCCTGACGAGTCTGTTATACTGCCATCTGAGAAAAGTTTCGTTGCAGGAAATTCAGTCACAAGGGGAAAGGAGAAAATCCTTGAGCAAACCTATGGAACAATCCGAACTCATCGCTCCTCCACGACCGAGGGCTCGTAATTTTTTCGCTTGGGCTCGCCGCATATTATATTCCTGAATAAAGTCGTCGTAAGAAATCGTCACCAAATTCAAGAAATAGTTCTGAACCTTTCGTTGCTCAGGTGTCATTTTCTGATATCGTGCTCGTGCTGCTTCAGCTTTACGGGCATTCCTTATCATAATCTGCTGCGCCTGAATCCGACCTCACGAATCAGTTACATCCGGACCCTTGAACATCAACGAACCTTTTGCAACGCTTCAGCGGAAATTCGCCCAGCTGGGGTTGAGAGTAGAATCTCTTCCTCGACTCGTCGCTTTCGAAATGATTCCGTGCGCCGCTGGTTATACTCACGTCTTTCTTCTGCAGTCATTCGATGATACCTGAAAACAAAACGATTACACTATTCTAGCTTTGAGCCCTCAATTTTATAACCGCTACTTCTGCGAAATATGGTGAGCTACACCTACCTAAGCCGCGCCGCCTCAGCCTTCTTCGCATTCGCCATTTTGATGTGTTCTCTAATCGCCTCGTTGTCGATGAATTGACCCTTAGGGGTATCAGGATCAAGTCCTAGCGCACGAAGCCGTCGCCTCTGATTATAAATCCTAGAAAAGCTAGTGTTTTTCCGTATCAGCGCCCTAAAATATCAGATTGACCCATAATTAGTTAACCACTTTGGTATTTTTCATTTTATATTCTTTTCCATCTAAAGTGCTTGCTCATCTTAACATGCATCTCTGTTATCTACGAATATTACCTATACATAGTCATAGTTTAGCCACTATCTTTCCTCTGGGATTCCGCTAACTTTTGACATAGAAGAAATAGCGGAAGTCGTATTTGAGGTCATGTCACTTGGCGTAATATTTCTCCTGAAGAGGAGCGCTAGAGCTCAGACTAAGTTGTCATTCGCTGGCGCGAGGGTAGGGTTACTTGGTGGGCTGAAAGAACTGCTAGCCTTGGGATATTTTGCGCAAGGTGAGGTCGAATGATCCCAGAAAAAAAGCAGACTTTGTCTTGCTTTCCCCTCAAATCGAGCGTGCCGCCATCATGCTGTCGACGTTTGTCTTCTTCACTGACCCTAGTATTACTTAGCAGCGGTTCACAGCGCAAGGTCCCTTCCACATTTCACCCACAATTCAGAAGTGTCGATCTTAGAGGAGGCTGTGCTTTTGTGCTGTGACAACAAAAAAACTCACAAGCCGCTAGAAAGGAAGCTGAACGACTCCGAAGTTGGCGTGGGGGAGAATTGGCCTAGGGACCTGCACAACCACGCCCACTTAGCTGTTCGGTTCCCTTTCTAGCAACTTTCCGAGGTGAGTTTTTTGTTCAGTCAGACTTCTTGTGTTCTTGACTAGTGCTAGCGCATCGTTCCACACCATTGGTGTCGGAGGTAGAAACCTGCTGGGACTGTTGCTTCAAGCTAGGCCACTGTTCCTTGTGGATTTGCCAGTACACTCCACCGAGTCTACGACACTGGCTAATATACCGGACGACCACTGAAAGGAACTCGGGGAAACCAGAAGGAACATGGCGATGTCAGATCGTGTTTGCAGTCGATTCGGGCTCAGATAGATGAGATACGAACACCACATTTTCAAAACTTTCCGACTATACGAAGATGATTACATTTCATTATCTTAAGAAGTCGGATACGGATAAAAAGAAGAAAAATAGCGACGAGTTTGTCGAAAGTGGCGCTGAGTACAGATTGCCAGTCGAGGTGTGGTAAGAGTGTAGGTAATCTTGAAATAAATAAGCCAACTCCGAATTAGAGTGAACCACATGTGCACCATGACCTTGGGGAACGTGCTCTCGCCTATCAGCCGGTTGATCCTCTGTATTGCTTGGCATTTGAAAAATCCTAATCGCAAGTGATGAAGAAGGAAGCTCAAAAGTTGGTTCGAGAAAAATTGAAGTAATAGCCACAGAAAGCGGCGTGCAAATTGGCTAATTAATTGCTAAGATAGGATAGTGATGGTGCTACTTCGCAAAGCATGTTTCACCTCTTCAACATTTTTCTTGGAGCTTTTATAGCAAAAAAAATGTAAATTGTTCCACTAACTATGGGACCACCTAACAGAAACGAAGCGAAAGTAGGAAAATTACCTTCTCTCCGCCTCACTCATGCGCTGATAACGAGATCGAGCTGCCTCCGCGCGTCTCATTTTTGATCGCTGTTCTCGATATTTTTGTAGATCAATCTGAATGTAAATGCTCCAAAAAACCATACAATCGCCAAAAAAAGCAGTGGTGCACCTACATTTTCATTGGAGTCGTGTAACAATTCGTCCAGTTCCTTTCTGTCGCGCTTCCTACGTTCAACTTCTCTCTGTTTTCTGTTTATAATACTCTCCACATCCTGATCGAGACCTGTTTCCATTTGATCATATCTATAAAATTTCGGCTTTTTGACTGATTAAAGCAACAGTTCAGGGAGGGTCCGAAAATTTCAATGCCACTACTACTGAGGGATACACGAGCCCTAGTGAAGAACATATGCAGTGGAAATAATAAACGAACTTACCTCAGAAACTCAAAAACAGGGTGAAAAGTCTCACAAACATGGGTGTTCTTGGGGATTTCCCCAATCCCGCCCCCTTGCCGGCCGTCATTGGACGCGTCGGCAATCGTGCTCGTTTTGAGGACCACAGGGAAAATTGATTGAAAAATGGAGCGCGTTTACAGCGGGCACGTTCAGACAACTCGTCCAACGTGCGTCTTTATCCATTGGTGAGCGGCAGAGGGAGAGTACATGTCTAAGACCTCCCCGACGTTTTTTTCCAGTTTTTCATACATTAATCGTCTGGTTTTCATCCACAACTTCATTATTGGTGGTTTTTTCGCGCGAAACCGTCCCTGAACTGTTGCTTTAAGAAAAGGGTTATCCAACAGAAGTTCGAGCAGACAGTATTGAGATTACTCAAAAAGGACTTGTGTCGAAAGGAGCTCTTATTCAGCAAATTACATCAACTTAGCTGATGCAACAAATAACTCGCGACTATCGTTGAGTTGAACATTTATGGTGCAGTAGTAATGCTTCAATAGGGTCCTCGAAAAAGAATAAAATGAAGCACATCGAAATAGTGGCAAAGAGCTTACTCATCATGTTCATGGTCGCTATTATCAACTGTCTGCGAGGAGGTGCTCGGTTCATGTTCCACAAAATAGGTGTCGATGAAAGCATTCATTTGGTCCGCCTGTGCCACAGCAGGATGCTCCTTAGATAAGGTAGATGAAAGCTGAAGAATGTACTCAATGTGATTTTTAGACCAAAAGCAATACTTCTATCAAAGATTGACTAACCAGCCCATTTTCCGAGGTGGTAATGGATGTAGAAAGCTCTGGAAGGCGACTTTGTAAGGAGCTATGCGGACTTAAGTCTTCTGATGTAGAGGAGGGCATAATATTCGGCGATACCAGTAACTGAAAGTGGGTCCATCCATTCACTACCAAGTTTAACCCTTTCGGACCTGAATTTTTTTCCGTGGAGAAACTTTCCTTTTAGCTATCGCTTATTACTTGTGAGCATATAAGTATCATTATGGCGAAATTTGGAAGCTATTCGATCCCAAACAAAGAAACTAAGAAGCTTTGAAAATTGGCTCACCTTCTTAGTTTTTAAGCTTATGTCGGAAATTCCAAATTTCATAGCTATGCCGAAAAAGTTTATAATCTTGCACAACATTAGAGGTTGACTAAAGCAACCTCTAGCAGGATCAGAAAAACCATGCCGTTTCAGCGGCAATGCAAGCATTTGAATTTGATGGTGGCAACTGCCACCGCCAGGGCCGTAAGGGTTAACAGAGTATGTTCACTTACGTATTCACCCTTGCGATCCTGAGAGAACAAATTATTTGAGTCGCCATGAAACGTTGTTGGTGCAGGTGTGTAAAATGTAGTTGTCTAAAACAAATTTTCATTGTCATTTAACGTAGAATCTAATCGAGTAAAAAGGGCTAGGAAAAACGAAAGGGAAACTAACCTGAGGATGAAACGCAAGGTTGCTCTGTGAAAATGACGAAACCTCAGCGGGTGTGAGCGTTTCCAACACTCGACCATGTGGCGATGAGCTTTCCCTTGGCGACCCAGCCGTTATATAGATCGGGTGTTGGTTCATCTTAGACTTGTATTTTCAATAAAAAAGGAATCTGAAAGAGTTGAATACGCAAGCGAGCCATGAAGCCAAATCATGTATAACAGCGTTCAACACAGTGAAGCCTGCGAAACGATAACTAATGGCAATCAAGTTTATTAAGTTTGCGTGCCTCTTGAAATTCGTAATACATTTGAGAAGAACGAGAACTATTTCATGATAAATAAAACGGTGCAGGTAAGACAAATCACCTTCTAATGCCTAATTCAAGCCAAGATCCACGATAAGCTCACGGATCCAGTAAGTTACAATAATTCATAAAAGAAAATAGCCAAAAGGAAGCGAACAGGCACACATAATCAATATGAAACCTTGGAGACACATGAAAGTGACGAAAACAAAATCCCTTCCTACCCTCGGGTGTCAGTAATAAAGAATACGAAACTATATGGTTGTCGAAGTTGCTTCGAGGTGAGATAACAAAAACAAATAACATGTCGATTTTTTGCACTGAGAACTCTCAGCGAAATACCCTCGGAAAGTTGTTTTGAACGAGCCGATATGCAAAGATACACTTACATAACGAATGTTTTAATGTCTTATAAATTGATTCTAAGCCCGAGATGGTGGTGCTCCATAGGGATTGATGATCTGCTGCTGGACATGCTGCCCGTTGACCATCATACCACCGGTTGTATAGGTTATCTGTTGTGGTGCCGACTGTTGGTGGACGAGTTGCTGACCACCCGAAGTGGTAGGGACGTGCTGCTGGACCACCAAGTGACCTGACGAAGACGGCATCTGTAATTTTTCGTGTTACTTCACCGTGCAACATCAGACAACATCATGTACGAAAAAACACATGAAATGGATCCAAAAAAGCAGGAAAAGAAAACCGAACCAAGGAACATAGCGATCTCTCAATCACCTGCTGTTGACCAACAGTGACGTGAGGGCCTTGTTGCCCCTGGATAGCTTGCACCGGAACCTGATGGACAGTATGCACGACTTGTTGATGTGTTACACCATTTGTAGAAGCAAGTTGAATCTAAAGTGGAATGTTCGCATATTGGTTAATAGTTTAAAAAGAAATGCACGACTCCTGTCAATTTATTCGAAAGAATGGGATGCCTTTCTCCTCAAGGTTTCGAAACTTCTTCATAGTACATTGATGATGTTATAACATGATATCCCGCAAAAATGGCTAGTATTTCACTAAAGTCATGCAACTGTTCACTGTCCATTCATGACATGTGTGCATATTACCCTAATAACAAACTGAAAGGCAAGGTCTTCTGGGACGCGTGAGGCGCTGTTTCGAATATTTTTTTGCATGTTGTAGCAACTTATTGTGGGCAACAAAATTTTCACTTTCGTTAAGCGCTTTGCCCAAGTCAAAAGGGGTGAAAATGGCTCTAGGTCCGAATCCTCATGATGTCGGAGTTTTCGCAATCTAAACTGAAACTTCCTGATTGCTCTGAATGGTGCTAGCGCCAAGAATAGGTGTTATGTTCATCACCAGGACTACTGGTAACACTTACGTGTAGATTTCACCAAAAATTGGTGTAAAAAACTGCAAAGCCAGAACGGCACTAAGTTACGCCGAAAAGACCCCAAATGGAGCCATCCAGAGGAAAAAATGAACGAGCTAACGAGCAGACCAGGGTACTGAATAGCCGCTGAAGCAGAAGTTTTGGAAAAAATCGGGATTGACCAGACTTGTAGAAAATAGCCATTGATAAGTCAGCAGCAGTAAACGTATCACAGTGAAGACTACAACTTCGTCATCCCCTGCAAATGAGCGCTCCAGAAGCGCTCCAGAATGGACAATGACAGACACTTAAACCAGTGATGGACGAGATACCCACGGGATATTATTCCTCCTTCCATTAGGGAGCGGCAGTGAGTCCATCTATTTCAAAAGGTACGTGGCGTTTGCACATGTGATGCGCGATCGCAAGTCGATACGTTTCTACTCTACACTCGAATTGCAGTTCGAACTACAAAAGGACGATTCGACTGAAAGCAAGTCGATACGTTTCTGCTCTACACTCGTATTGCAATTCGAACTACAAATGGACGATTCGACCGAAAGCAACCCGAGATTGAGCATAATATCACTGGAAGACTCCTTGATAAAATAAAGGTAAATCACGAACCTGCTGCACTTGACCCTGTCCGATATGCGTAACCGGCGTTGATGTTCCCTGCTGGATAATATATGTACCTCCTTGCACACCCTGCGGTGTGGGAGTAGTGGCAACCGGTTGTGAAATCACCTGCACAGCTTGTCGCTGTTGACGCATAATTGCCTAAATACCCACAATGAGTGAAATTAAGAACTTTTGAATGTTAATAAATCACATGCTCATATTCGGGCCCTTTCACGCACCTGCTGCGCTTGTTGAGTCTTTTTCAGAACATCACGTTCAATAGCGGTCAACGCGTCCTCTTCCTGAAATAAAGGCTCCACTGGAAAAGGAACGAGGCTACTCAAGTGAATGAGCATACTTCAAAGAAAAACGTTCTGAAAAACAACTGAACATACCTTTTTACAAGATCCAGCCAATGACCCACCACTAGATGACAACATTGAGTCCATACCTTCCATACGCCTACGTTTTGGTGTATATCGCTTTTGATTGTAAGACTGCAAAAGATTCGGTGTCAAATCCCAAACTGTCAGACAAGTGCATCACACTGTTCCGAGATGCGAGAAATGTAACTGAACTGCAGAGCTATTCACTAATGATAGCAATTCAAACCTTTCTCTGATCTGGAGTCATTCTCTGGTATCGCAGTCGAGCCGCCTCTGCTCGCTTAGCATTGCGTACAACAATCTGTTGAGCCCTACAGAAGGTGGCAATCTCTAGGACTACCCTAATACGAGCATCGGAGCCAAACGAACGTACCTGTCCAGAGCTTCACCATTAATTCTGCCAATCGGCATAGCGAGTAGCATTTCCTCTTCCATTCTACGCCGTCGGAAGGCCTCCGTGCGACGTTGATTATATATTCGTTTCTCCTCTTCAGACATACGGTGATACCTGAACAATTTGTTTTTTCGCAAATATCTAACAAAGTTTAACCCCAAGTAAAAACCAACTAAGTATACACACATATCTAACAGTAGTCAAAATTTAACGAGTGCAATTTTGTATACTACCTCTGTCTCGCCGCCTCAGCTTTCTTCGCATTTTGCGCTTTGATATGAGCTCTGACTGCCTCTTCGTCCTTGATTGGATCGCCAGTGCCTCCGGCGGCCTTAAGATCAAATCAAATATTAATATTCCACAACGTGCTCAAGTAAGCAGACCAAATCGGGGCCAAAGAAGAATAAATCCGGCAAATGCGTATTGCTTTGGAGTGGCAATTGTAAGCTGAACCTCTGAAACCACCTTTACGGCAGCCAACGCGTTCTGCATCTGACGCATTCTCCGACGATTGTTGTGAGCTCGGCGCTCCTCCGGTGTCATTCTTGCATATCTGAACATAACAAGGACTCAGAACTAGTTACAAACCACGGAATCCTGCTTCCAAATTCGTAAAAAATGAACAAGACCAACCTTTGACGCGCCGCTTCTGCCCATTTAGCTCTCATTCTCTTTTCGCGAAGCTGCTCAGTGATATCTGGATCCTCCTGAAAGGAATACATTAAAACTTTTATGAGGCGCTTTTATGTTATCGCTCCTAACAGGTTAGTTATGTGAAATAGTCATTCTGAATACACTTTTCGATGTCAATCATTTCTATCACTTCTCGTTTCATCTCTTTCGAAAAGATCCGACCTGAATGTCATTCGTTTCCCGGAGAATCGATTCCAACTCTTCCAGTTCTTTTTCTCTCTGCCTTTTCCTTTTCTGCGCTAGAGTTCTCTTCAAATTCAGTTCTCGCTTCTCAGCAGGTGTCAATCGATGATATCTACAAATACAATCATAAGCAAGACAAGATTATTTTTTGTGCAGCTACTTCTCGTTCAGGTAATCAAACGATGTCAGCCGTTTGAAGACCACCAAAAACAAACACACCTCATACGAGCGGCCTCTGCTTGGCGAGCCTTCTTCAGGCGCTCCTTCTCAGCTTTATCGGGCGAAATAGGAGAGGGTTTCAAGTTCATGTTCACACCCTTCACATTTGATGTCGTGACCAATGTGCCTCCTTGATAGGAAATCTGCGGGGTAAGTTGACCTACCTGAAGAAAAACCCTTTTACAACCACTAATTATGATGTAAAAATAAAGATGTGATTCAATTCATCATTACAATGAAAGATAAGTGTAAATTACAACACCTGTAATCCTTGTAGTGATTGGCTGGACTGAACCTAAATAAAATCAAGCTTGACTGCATTAGAATAATTTTTGCTAGCATCGGAAATAAAGAATTACCTGAACAGTTTGATGACTAGGTGTTGCCCACGTGGACGTTGACGCCGGCTGATCTAGGAAGTAAGTGTCAAGCAGCTGGGAAATCCGTTTTTCGTCATTATCAGAGGAGAGACGCATCTGCGACTGCGTGACTTGACCTCCACGGCTTGACTGAGGAGCTTGCTGTAGCTAGAAAGAAGGAATCTGCTTCATTCCAAGACCCTTCGTTGACGTTGATATTCCCTGTGCTTTCATTCCGTTTCAGATGGATAGATTTATTTGGCCTCGATGACGTGGCCGTAACCGCTAGTGAGGAGCGTACAGCATGGCTGTAACCGAAGTCTCACCCGATTTCTTGTTTCCAACCAGAGCTCGCCACACTTCTCATTGGATCAAGTGAAACAATTATGAGGAGTTTGCTGTATCAGTGACTGCCAAACGTAGGTAGCTAATCAAGGGTGTGGGTACTTAGGACAGAACGCGACTTTTTCGCTCTTCGCAACGCGACATCGCGCGGCAGGCTGGCGCCCGCAGCGAAAACAACTACGGTATGGGAGAACGCGCGATTGGAGCACGACATTTGTGCCGGCTTTGATTGCGACAAGGAGCTTGAAGCTTAATAGCCATGGATTTGGTAATGAACGAGGAAGTGGTAACCAGAAGTGGACCGCTAACTAGCAGTGAAGAGGGAGGTAGGTTATTTTTGCAGAGATGGATGGTAGAGCTTCTGGAGAACCTGGAAGAAATGGTTGATGGACGTTTGATGAGACGACTGTAAACTTCTGCATAGAGGTTATTTGTGGGCCCTGATCATGAATATGACACTCATTTTCACATACGTGCTGTTTAACGCATACTTTCTGCCTTTCTAAGCTTTCTCACCTACACCGCCTACGACTAAGCTTATGGGAGGGGAGTGTAACTCCGGAGTGGGTAAACCACGCACCGTGTGGCAAAAGTTGGAGTGTGTCAGACCACAGGGGAATGGCCTATTTGGAGCCCTACACCACTCAAAGCGTTCCGTAAAAGATGTTATACCCTTATGCAGAAGTCTATATGACAATATAACCCACAAAATGCAAGCACAAGCGACACTATTAAAGCATCGTTCACCGATAATTCGTAAAACACCATCTTACTGGCACCGCCCGGAATCGTGTAAGTCACAAAACGTTTTCAATAATGAGACAGAATTAGTGATTCACCACATTTATCGATACAATGGGTGTGAGGGCGGGCAAGTGAGGAATCAGAGACTTACAAATTCACGCATGCAAAAAAGCTGCTCCAATCGCGCGTTCTTCCATACCGTAGTTGTTTTCGCTGCGGGTGCGCCAGCCTGCCGCGCGATGTCGCGTTGCGAAGAGCGAAAAAGTCGCGTTCTGTCCTAAGTACCCACACCCGCTAATCAACGAGAACAAATGAATAACTATGTACAATACCAAATCTCATCGCATGACAGGATGATTTTCTAATGAATTAAACACTTACCGTGATAGTGTTGTTGGGAATAAAAGCAGTAGAACTGGAGGAGTGAAAGGGAGCAGTAGATGAGGTTGTATATGTCGACGTTTGGTACGATGATGGATGAAAAGACATCGCCTGCAAATCGTAATCGTCTTCATT